CCAAGGTTGAAGACGAGAAAACTGTTGCTGCTGAGTAGATGTCTTGTTACGAAAATGGGGTTTTGTTTGGCTGCATAGATTAATTATTATGAGATAATTTAGAGTATCAATGAGGGGCTAGTGATGTGTTATGAGTCGAGTAATCCATCTCTAGAATATTTTCTGGGTTGGTTGTGGCTTAATTTGTTCCCTTTTCTTTGGGCGGATTTGAAGGATGTTGTTGTTTGATGTTGCTTAAGATTATCTACTGGTAATGGGTGTTTACTTATAGTTAATTTTTGGGCAATTGGCACTTGTTTCTATGGCTTTATTCCATTGGGCAAACGAGACTTCATAAGAGATATTTGGAATAATAGTGTCATCAGGTGGAAACGAGAGAGAGAGAGAGAGAGAGAGAGAGATAGGGTCTATAATTGATGGCAATAAAGGAATCCAAAGAATATGTAGGGAAATAGAGGAAGTATTTAAATATCGTACAGAGTATATAGTAGTATTATTATTATTATGTAATGCCAATAGGGAAAAGCTGTTCGTCAAGGACATTGATCTTACCCCCAAAAGCTAGAACATCAAGAGCAGCCAAAAAGATAAAACAAAAGCTCTCAAGTGCACTTTGAATCAATGTATGCCAAATGGCGCCTCAACTTTGTGGGAGAAGATACGGTTTCTGACTTGTTAATTTGGACGATTTTTTTCTCTCTTTATTGGTAGCACAAGAAAAAAAAAAAAAAAAAAAACAGCAGACAACAAGCTACAACAAACAAGAAAGGAAACACAGACTAATTTGGACAATTCAAGAGCTGGCGAATGGCTTCATATTCCTTCTTTGAAGGGTAACTAAGTAGAGACGCTGCCTATCCTTAAGAAGTAGAAGACAGAACAAAGAAGAATTTGGAAAGTGTGAATTAATGCTCGTCCCAATCAGTGGGATTCTCTCATTATATAATTTTGCTTACAAAGACAATTCATAAGAGTTAAAACTCATATCAATTACAATGTTCAAAAGTTCAAAATACAAAATTGAATTGTAAGATGTTTCAACACATCTATCGTCTCGGCTTGTATTATCTGGTTCTGAATCTATGAATGGATCAATATCCTTAACATTCCCCTTGCAAGTGAAACGGGCGGAACATACCGTGATCTTGGACCTGATCAAAGTGTTAAGGCGAGAACAGCCAAGAGGTTCGGTAAGTATGTCTGCGAATTGATCATCAGTTCTGATATACTTCACTTGAAGAGATCGATTAACAACATGCTCATTTACAAAATGGTAGTCTAGCTCGATGTACTTGGTTTGAGCATGAAACATAAGATTAGGCTAGAGAAATGTGGCACCTAAGGTCATGTTTGTTTCACTGTTCTGGGCTTCATTCTTTTAATTCTTGTTCATTCTGCGCAAGAATGAATAACATTATAGCATTTGGTTACAAAATTCTTGCCAATAGCTTCTTTCTTTTTAAAATGAAAAATCAGCCCATAGCACAAAATTTGAGTTAGCCTGCAACATGAAAAATAATCATGGCTCATCTTGTTAATTTTCATTCTTTGAAGAAATTCTATGCCTACKAAATTGCCAGCATAGATGGTTACTAGCAACTACCATGAAAACTCACCTCAACATGACTATCCACCACTAAACATCTATGGCAACAGTTTTGGAGACCTAGGCTGGTGGCTTATAATTACCAACACATTATTTTATTTTTTTCTTTTTCTTGAAGAATGAAAATGAGCAACATAGGACACTTGTCAGTCTGAAAAGAATTAATTTTTAGGAAAAAAAGTGTTTGGTTCAAAGTAATATTTTCTCATTCTGCCTATTTTTACCCATTCTTGTCCATTTTAGAATTTCATCTTCAGTAAGAATGAGAATTGAACCAAACATAGCCTAAATTGTCACACCACAAGACGGGTGAAAAAGGGGGAGAAAACCCAATTTCAACAAGTAACATCTCAGTYCATAAAAGATCAGTAGTCGTATTGGCAAGACTTCAATACTTGGATTTAGTGTTTAAATGCAATATTGTGTGTTGTTTCCGACTACTCCAAGCAACAATGTTAGGGGCCAAGAAGGTGCAATGACCACCATCAGTGGACTATGGCTGGCCCATAAGCACTTCAATAATTATGGGCCAAATAAAAATAGTAAAAATGATGACAAACCAATAGGACAAATCAAGTTCTATTAGTTTCTCTTAGTATTTCAGGAGAGTTAAATGCAAAAAGGTCCAATCAAGTTATTAGTTTCTCTTTGATATTGTTTTTTTCTCATTTCTTTTCCTAATGAAATTATTTTTCTTTTTATTGACCTTTTTTTTGCATAGATCAAACCAACTAAGGCCATGTTTGGCTCAATTCTCATTCTTTCTCATTCTTACCCAAGATGAAATTCTAAAATGGAAAAGAATAGGTAAAAATATGCAGAGTGAGAAAATATTGCTATGGACCAGACACTTTTTTCTTAAAAATGAATTCTTTTCAGACCAACAAGCGTCCTATGTTGCTCATTTTCATTCTTAAAAAAAAAACAAAATTGTGCCGGTATTCACAACTGCCAACCTAGGTCTCCAATAGTCAATGTTTACCAATTGGCATAGATGTTTTGTAAAAGTGCTTTTATAAAAGTACTTTTGTAAAAATGCTTTTATAAAAGCACTTTTGTAAAAGAGCTTTTTT